TTTAATTTTTTAGTAGATACAATACACACATTGTTTGTGTGATGTCACTGATCTTGCAGAAACTATCACTCAAAATGAGTTATTGTTATATCTAAGCTTTTAGCTGAGATTGTTGGGATAGTTGAGTCGGTTCCGGTGCCATCAATCACCACTAAAGTTCATCACCAGTCCGACCATCGTTCGTTCTCCCAGTCAAAGATGTGGGAATATTCGTGCCTCTAGATGCCATCAAGGATTATCCATTAAGGATCATTAAAATCTCTTCCAAACCCCGATTTTATGCAATGAACGGTAGCACACACTTTGGGCTTAACCCATGCTCCAAATTTTCGATATAGAGGACCAACTGCTTTTTATTAAGCACATTGAGAACCCTTTCATGATACATGAGTACTAAACAAAAGGAGATTCATTGATACCACATGAATCAAAGATCCTAAAGCCACTAGTTCACACAATCAACCGACACAACAAGGAGAAATATAGAGACTGGTGATGAACTTTAGTGGTTGCATAGTAATATAGAGACTGTCAATTCAAAGCATATTGAGCAGGAAATTGCACGGAACACGTACTTGGAGCCCTCAAACCAAAGATTTGGACAATGGACTAGGCTCCAAGCATGCAAACACATCTATGTAGTCAAAGATAAACACCCCCACACTTAAGGTATTTATTGCCCTCATTGGAGAAGAGGGGAAGATAAGGGAGAACGATGTTACCGGAAAAACAGACTGCAACACGAGCGGAGCGGGGTGAGGTAGGGTGAGATGGTCTTCGACATCAGCAGAACCAAAGATGACAAAGGTGACCCAAAACTCACAAAGAAAAGAAAAAGAAGGGAAAGGAAAGGAAACAAACCAGTGGGAGGGCTGCCTCTCAACGAGCGCTTCTTTTACGTCTTTAGCTGGATGCATAGGATGGATGCTCAGAGTGGTGTAGGAACATGCGTCTCCAAGAGCGGACTCACATCGTTGTTGAGGTACAACTTCAGATGGTGGCGATGAACACGGAGGTTGTTGCCATCAGCACAGATTAACTCAACCTGGACATCTGGTAAGATACACGCGAGTAAATACTCTTATGGCCAAGGCAGTGGTGGCTCAGGGGCTGGGACCAGCTCATAGTGGTCTCCAGCTTTCTTTTTGGCAGACTTGGATGCCTGAAGCTTCGATCGCCACTCATTTGTGAACTTCTCTTTTAGTGATTGGGGGTGCTAGAGTGGTGGAGAAGTAGGAGGCGGAGGGTCCTGCAAAATGGGAATCACAGAAGGATACACGACAGACTCGTGCACCTGGTGAGATAAAGCATGCATAGGTAAATTATCAGTTTCAAAATGGAAGGGCAGAGTCACTCGTTAATGAGTCCCCTAACTCCTCAATTAGGTCCAAGTTGTAATTCCCTTTAGTTGTTTTACTATTGATTAGACTGCGGAAGATCCGAAAATAGTTTGGAATCTCTTAGGTTGACCAAGCCCTCTTAGACATAATATCTGGCAGGCGACTAGCCTTCACCGGGATAAACTGCTAAGACGATTCACACATATCCCCACTACTTAGAACGAATTCCAGTACAAAGCAGTGAATTTATTGACTCTCGTATAATCAATTAACTACTACCAATCGAAAAAGCTCTATTGACCTAATCAGATTCTATCTATCATAGGTTAAAGCATAAATCAATAGAATGTGATCAAGATCCAATTGACTCAACAAAACATACCTCAATTGATTATAATCAAACAATATAGCATCCAAGGGTTCATATAGTCAAGGTTCCTAACATATGGGGCTAGGGTTCTTCATACCCAAGTGAGAAGGAGGTTTACTCCATAGTGAGAGAGAGAGAGAGAGGAAAACAAAAATCATAGTAATTACTCATAATTATATATATGATAAGTTCTGGGATGTCAATCTTCACTCCAAGGGCGAAATCCAAGGTTTAACGTCCAAAATCCAACTCAAAATCTCTCTTAGGGCTTGTTCTTTGTCACTTTCTCTCTCTAAAACTCTGTTTTTGCGATTAGAACTCGAATCCCCTCTCAAACACTCAAAATTGGGTTAAGAACCAGCAACTGTGCAATTAGACAGGTAGTGCACGACCATGCAACTCAGCCCTCTATCCCGCGCACACCGAAACACACCATTTCACTTGAATTCGACGAGGGACCGTGCACGGCAATCGCACGACCGTGCAAAATGAAGTTTTGACCGTGAAAAGTCTCTGGAAACCTTGCATGACCATGCATATACCTTGAATGGCCGTGCACATTTTCCAACACACACTCCTAATGTCTGTTTGAGCTCGTTTGACCTCCAATTGCCTTGAAACTTGCGCCCAAGCCTTCTTTTACTTGTTAGGTCCTGAAATACATCAAATGAGCAGATACCAGCGTAAAATAGTCCAAGGAATGATCAATCACCAAGCTAAACAATAAAAAAAAATGTCGGGAAAACATGTACAAATGCAGTGTTATCAAAGTTCCAGCGAAAAGCTGAAGGGAAAGCCAACTAGCCAATAAGCAACCGCTATTCCAAAGGGAGAGTTAGCTGAGAAGCAGCAATTTCTCATGGGATCTGTAAAAGACACAAACCCAAACTAGTGAGTCAGTTTACATCGACATATCCAAGATGTCAGTCATCTTGAGTTTTTAGGAGACACTAACGATTCAAGCATGATTGTCCCTTCTTCAATGTGTACCATTCCTTTTCAAACTTAACATTCCTGTCATTCATGTCTATGCTTGAAGGGGAGTGTAGGAAGTCATCAGACAACCCATGTTGTGTCATGCCACCCCAGCAGCTACCCATGACTCCCATGTGCTGCAACTACACTCCAAACAAAAACTGCCATAATCCATACCTCACACATGCTACTCTGCTCTAGCAACTAGATAGCAGCTCCTATCTTTTCAACTGTCATTGTGTTGTTCTTCTTTCTATAAATCAAAGATTGAAAAACCGTACTGAAGGTTGTACCGGAAAAGCAACGATATAGTATTTTAAGATAAAATCATTGTTTAACCGTGGTTCAACCTTTTCATGCCACTAATACCGCCTACCGAATTTTCTTCTATTAGGAGATTTTTCTTATCGAACCGCCGATACGGTACGATTTTTTAGTCATTTGTATAAATAGATTAGGTAACAATCAAGTTTTCAATAGCAAATACATTTAGTAAATTTAACAAAGACAAAACAATGAATACATTGTTAAATAAAAGAAGAGTTAATTGCATGATTGGTCACTGAGATTACAAAAAACGTTCATGCTTGGTCACTCAAAATATTTAAATTCATTGGCGGTACTTAAGTTTATTGAAATCGTTCACGTTTGGTCACTCTTCGTTAGTCACCGTCCATCTCCGTTAACAAGTCTATTAAGTGATGATGTGGCAGACAAAATCATCTAATCGGCCTTATTTAATCTGAAACAGTGCGACCCAACCCGCCATGTCATCTGGACCAACCCAAACCTCTAACCAGACTAGACCCAACCCTTAAACTACACTACCCACACAAATTAAATCCCTAATTTCTAAAATAGATCTCCACCTTCCCCTTCTCGATCGTGCTCCTTACTCCCAGACTTTCTTCCTCTTCCCCTCTATTTGATACTTCACCGACGACGAAGGGGCGACGAAGGAGAGATGGAGTTGGGTTCAATGAAAGCTCTCTTGGATCAATTTTAACAGTGCGGAGGATTCCTCTGCTTTTAGCTTTGGGGGAGGCTTCTCACTTCTTTTTCTTCCTTTCAGAACCCTTAACTGATCGCTGCTCTCTATACCCTTTTCAATCGGGGGTTCCCTTTCCATTTCCGCCTCAAGTTTCACCCTGCTTTATTTTTCCCTCTGTGCCCCCCTTCGATGGATTTGTGGCCTAAATAGCTCAATATTCTCCAGAGGCTCAGCCCTCTTGCTGTCATGGCCGAGCTCTCCCTACCGGTAGATCCCCTCTGGATTGCGGTACTTGTCGGCGTTCTCGTTGGATGGTCATGGAGGCCCAAGTGGGCATGGCGAATCAATCTGATACTGCTCCAGATTCCTCGAGCTTCAAGCTTCAGCTGTATATCCTGGATTTTCGGTGAGAAGGCGGACGTTCCAAGCGAGCTTGGGGTGGGGGGAATTGTTTGAAAATCTGTTTGTCAGAAGATGGAGAGATTGTTAAATAGATCGATCGAGATGTGGATCAAACTCATCCTAACTTGAACATCTTCTCAAGAGATTCATCATTTAGTACGAAGAATAAGGTGTGTGTGTTTTCTTGCTCCTGCACGATTATCTGTTATCTGTTGTCTATCTTTATGGTATTTTACCATTTGCGAGGAACTCTTGATTTTGTGCTGGGAGCAATGAGGGACATTCTTCTGCTATTTGCAAAAGTGAACCCAACTATTGGTTATGTACAAGACATGAACGAGGGTTTGGCCTTCCATTGAACCCAGCTCCATCTCTCCTTCGTCGCTAGTGAAGTATCAAAAAGAGAGGAAAAGGAAGGAAGGCGACGCACGATGGAGAAGGGGAAGGTGGAGATCTTTTTTAGAAATTAGGGATTTAATTTGTGGGGGTAGTTTAGTTTAAGAGTCGGGTCGGGTCTGGTCTGATTAGAGCGTTGGGTTGATCCAAATGACATGGTGGGTTTCAGTGACGTGGCGGATCAAGTCGCATTATTTTCGGGTTAAATAGAGCTAATTAGACGATTTCGTCCGCCACGTTATCACTTAACGGACTCTGTTAATGGGGATGGACGGCGACTAAGGAAGAGTGACCAAACGTGAACGACTTTAGTAAACTTAAGTACCACTAATTCTTTTATACATGAAAGCTGGGTACACTTTATTGGCACAAGATTTTCTATACTGTTTCACTATTTGTCGTGTAGTGGAAAAACCTTCTTCGCAGCCGGCTCCACAAAAAACACCAAAAATTTTACCCACCCTCGCAGCCGCCCATGCTTCTGTATCCCCTTACCCTCACCTTCAGTCCCAAAATCTGCAATGCAGTCATATCACGTATCTGACAGCTCCGGTTTGCTTCTTTAAGTGGCGAAGCCTTTACAGCTACTGCTGTTAAACATGCCATCGGCCATGCATTTGTACAGTCCTCACCTTACTCCTGTGGATTGAGAGAGACTTCTCTTCTCTAGCTCGACCATTACAATTTCAGCTGCAACTCCTATTTTATTTCTTTGTTTCTCTATTCTCGATTCCGCTCTTCAACCAACCCTCTCTTCCACCCATCGCCTGACCACCCTGAATCTTAGCAGTCAAAATAGGTCTGGATGTCCTGAAGCTCCGTCGTGCAATTTGGTGATAGGATTAAGAGACCTTCCTCTATGGCATTCAAGGGCAGTCGTCAGCGGATGAATCTGTCGTCGCTAGAGTCAATCTGCACCACTATCTCCTCCTCCTCCTCCGTCTCGGTCATGAAGATGCTGAAGTTTTTCAGCAACGATTCTTGATGAATCGTTGCCTCCTTGACAGCAACGACTCATGGCCCCAGTTCTCCGGTTTGGCAATCGTTATTGCAGCTGCATCTAAGTGCTTCATTTGAGGTCACGACCACTAGATCTCAAATCACTGTCGATGGTAGCATAACGGATCAGCAGCCGGCGGCGGTGTTGTTTAGGTAAGGATGATATCGTGCCGCCGGGTGTGCGGTATGACTTCGAGGAGGAAGATGCGGAGCTGATATCTCGAGTGGTATAAGAAGAAGCGTAGTAACGCTGTGAAGAGTTTATGGGAAGCCACTCCCATGGAATCTGGCTAACAACCCGAAACGCCGAATCCGTCCCGACGCCCATGGAAGCCACTCCAGCTTGGCAACTTATTTAACTGACGGTGCTTGCTGGATTGCCGGTCACTCTGCGACATGGTACGATTCTCCTCCCCTTTACTCCCATTTCTTCTCTAGCTGCACTCCTAAAGGCGGCTTGGCGGCTTGCTGCCCTGCCCTTTCGAATGACGATTCAGTTTTATGGGTTGTGAAAATTTCAATCTTTCTTGCTCATATTTGTATGCTATATGACCTTTTTGTTTGTTTAGTTGCTATTTTCCATTCGAAAGATTTAGGTCCACCAAGAAGGACCTTAATCAGTGCTAATCTCTTAAGATTTCTCTATGTGAAAGTGAATTCTGGTCTGCAGGTGTCTCAATCATTCAAGTTGTAATATCTTACTCATGGTACTTTGTTTGTTTCCAGCTCAGTCTCACGTGATTGTACTCTTGGTGAAGATCAACTTTAATTGTTGGTATCATTGCGAGTCCTCATTGAATTCAGGTTGCTCCACCCCCTCCCCCCTCCTTTTGTTTTCCTTAACATGAATGGCAGCTCTGTTCTTATTGTTCTTCTCATTAATGTATGCTTCCTGATGGACTTCGTCTTCTGCAGGAACAAGTTTGGCAGCAATTGGAGGAAAAAGAAAGCCATAGAGCATTCTCTCTATGCAGATTTTCCAACATGTAGATTGTCAGAGCTAGAAGGGAACTTTAACATGTGGATAGATTCGCCAACATGTGGGGATACTTCCTTGAGTTCAAGGTAACGACACTCAATTGTTTTCTCCTGGTATTTCCTTTTCTTTTGATTACTATTCAGAAGTACGCTCCTTTCCAATGTGTTTTTCCACACTTGCCCACGATCTGCTCGACCTCACCGAGCTCGAGGTAGGAAGGATTGCAGAAGACCAATCTCAATCGAAGACCATTGGGACAACCACCGCATTGCAGCTCTATCAACCTATTCGACGAGGAAGGCAATCTGAAGCTACATATAGGTATCGACTTCGATCAATCTCTGTCTTGAAATTTTCCCCCCCAGCAGGTCGTGTTGATTATTTTTTTACTTTGCAGCCAGTACCTTGCTCTTTTCCTCCTTTCTCAAATTTACAAGACTGATAAGGGCAACCAGAAAGCAAAGAGGGGAAGCGAGAAGAACTTGGAGAAGAAGTTGCCTCGTGCAAGGGTAAACAACCTGTGTCCCTCCTCTTCAGTATACATTTCTTATTGAACTGTATAACATACATGCAAGAAGTAAAGCAACTAAAGCACTGCTTTTGCCACTCCATGTGAAGATATTAGTGTTGATTTCCAATACATCCTCCAATGAATGTATTATTGCTGATTTCCCTTTATTTTACAGTCTTCTCAAGTTTCTTTTCTTCACTTTGACTTTTGATTGTGCACCTATGTTGATTGAAGTTCCCATTGTTGGTACTAGGTCATCTTAGACATCTATGGTGATGCAAAGTTCTTCCAAACCCAAAGTTTGTAGAGTCCTACTTAATAATAAGATATGCTCTCTTTATGCCTGCCACTGTGTTCACCATCAGGGTCTCCATAAAACCTCATTATTGCAGGACAATTAAAACTAGATGAAAATGGTTGTTTGATTAGTGATTTTGCTTTGTCTTTGGTTCTCGGTGTCGTTGAGAACTTGACAACAATATGTTGCTTCAACATTGGTCTGCTGATCCTGTGTACCGGTCTTTTTCTTAGTCATATTTGGCTTGCCTGAATGCATTGTCTGAGTATTGGTTTCTGTTTGTGACTAAGATTCAATCCAGTGACTAGTAATTTTAACTATGTAATACTTAAGTGGCTGACATGCAAGCTAAATTCTCTAATTCAGGTCCTAAGATTTTCCGTCCATGGAGGATTAGACTCTACATATTAAATTAAGGTCCTAAGCTCTTACATCGAAAAGAAGTTGGCTTTAGTACCAGTTTAATTTTGTTTGCCTATTTGGCAGAGGAGTGGAAGACAAACTATCTCTTGAATATCTTCCTTTGGAATTGAGGGCCGCACAAAAATGCTTCTCTTTGAATGGGATTAAGCTTACTTTTCACCTTTATGTTTTAGCTACTTTTAAAGAGCCTACGTTAGTTCATTGGTCTGAAAACTGAAAGTGGGATTAGAATGTTATCTGACTGTATATTATAGTGAAGGTCAATTTAGTGCAAACTTTGTCAGTTAATTTGCAAGGTTAATTATAAAGTACTCAACCCCTGCTTCCTTTTCTAGCCTTGCAACGGCTTGGTAACATCTCTTTATAATCCTTTTGAATTCTCTCCATTTCAGTTCAGTAATTGTACTCAAGCTTTTTGGTTGTTAGGTTTTGGGATTGTAGTTAATCGATTCCGATGGATGCAGGGTAGCCAGGAACATGCTCTAAATCTATGAGCAGAGAATTGAATGGAAGAGAGGATTTTAGTTAAAAGACTATTGTTGGTATGGGTTTTGAGGAAGAAGAGGATAGGCCTCTATCAGCACTTTCTTCTGCCTCTTATGCAACAAAATGACAAAAAAATCCAATTTACATATCTCTTCATATACAGTTACAGGAGCTCGATGTACATGCCACCTTAATTTATTGATTCCATTTTGCCTACAGTGATCCTTGAAACAGCTGGGAAGTCTCAAATTGCAAGTTTAAATCTAAGTGGTTTGGTTGCTTCTTTTCGCCCCTGTTCAGTTCGTCTTTTATTTTATTTGTTAAGATTGTCTTTGTTCTATCCTTGAATGATTTTTTTTTATTTTATTTGTTAAGATTGTCTTTGTTCTATCCTTGAATGATTTTTCGAATTTGGAGGTTACAGAAAGGTGGTGTGCAGTTTTTAAGTAAAGCAGTCATGATTCACAAGGAATGCTATATAATTTAGGTACAACATTCTTATTTTGGGCAACTAGAATGCACGTTTGTTGTGGAAACTGCTGAAACTCTTCAAAGTAGAATCACTTAATTGTTTCTTCAACTCCACCGTTTCCTTCACCAGCAGATGATCTGTATGCTTATGTGGTGCTTATTTAACGTGTTATGCTTTAAAAAATTATGGCCCTTGGTGATGCTTGGCTTCCTAATGTTTCTTTCATGTACTTTCTCAAGTTTGGTTTTTCTATGAAACTCAAGAGTATATACCAATTTGAACCCAAGATTCTCATTATATAATTTGAGTTGAAAAGTATAGCACATTTGCATGATTTCAGTTAGTACCTTAAAAATCTAATGATTAATAGACGAAACAATATAATTTCTTTGGGGTTTAATACACTTGTATATCCAAAACCACGGTTGTCATGCCGGTGGCATGCCACCCGGTTGAACCTGATTCAACCTGTGCCGGTCATGAAACCGGCATAACAGCACCGATATGACCTGTATGATCGACTTACGTATTTGATAGACCGTTAATTACACATGTTTTTACCCCTGTTCTTACACCGTTTGAGATGTGGTTTCTCGTGTTTTAGACCGATTTCACGCTAGGTTGTGCTTGTTTGTGATATTTCAATTCCTGGCAAGTGAATGAAGGTTTAGGAGCGAGCTCGGGGTCGATTGGGCGAAGATCGGGCGCGAGGCAAGTCACAAAGGAGGCCACACGGGCACACCCACAAATCACACGGCCGTGCAACTCATATTTCTGGCCGTGTGAGATTGTGCGAGAGCAAACACGGCCTGCCCTGACAACACACACGGCCGTGTGAAGGAGTGGCTTGGCCGTGCGAGTTTTGCCGAGAGCAAACACGGGCAGATGGAAGTCACACACGGCCGTGCCACTCTGGCCGTGTGAGAAGCCTGGAATTCGACTAAGTGATACGGTGCGTTTTGCCTCACACGGGCAACTGGGTAGGCCACACGGCCGTGTGGCCCTGCCCGTGTGAGTCGTGATTTCCTGGTTTTAAGCCAAATTCCGAACCAAAGAGGAGGAGAGCTGGGTTTTTGGATCCCAAAACACCCAAGAGACGAACCAAAGAGAGAGGGCGATTTGAGGGCATTCTTGGAGTAGAGAAGGAGGATTTCTTCGCCTTGGAAGCTTGAGGAACAAGCCCGGACTTGAAGACTGATCATCTGAAGATTCTTACTGCAGTCTCTCTCTTCTCTATGGAGTAACTTCCCTTCACTTAGGTTTTGAGGAACCCTAGCTATGTTTGTTTGATTGGATGATTGTATGAGTACTCTGACTTGATAATCTTGAGCTCATATTCAATCTATGCATGTTTTCATGATTCAATTCTGCTTTAGTCGAGATTATTGATTCTGCTTTGATCCTATGAGAGGGAATACCTGATTAGGTCAATAGAGCACCATAGATTGATAGTAGTGGATCGATTGCTTTAGTCAAGGGTTGATTCACTGCTTTGTATCGATTGAGAACCTCTTTCGATAGAGGAAGTCTAGTTCAGAACGCCTTGATCAGTTGTTCTAGAGAAGGATACGTCCCTCTAGGCAATTGACTCAAGAGGGCCTTGTTCCTTTAGTCGAGACTCAAGGTCTAGTCAAGGATTCTCCGCATTGTGAATGAAAGTGAAACAGGTTAGAGATCATCAATCATTAATCTGGCTAGTGGCTAGGGGAATCATACCTAAGTGAGTTCCCAACCTGTAATTAGATTAACTTTAACTGTAGTTTGCTAGAGTAGTTTTAGTTCTTTCATCTTAATCTGATTTGCTAAATAATAAACTGAAGCTGAGTAATAGTAACTCTAGAGACCCATGGATTCGATATTTATCACTTGAGCCACTATACTGCAGTCCCTTTCATTGGTTACACTTGGCCTTTGTTAGGTGTTGTGTTTTAGAGCATCAAGTTTTTGGCGCCGTTGCCGGGGACTTTCTAGAGTATTAGGAAAGGCAGAAGTTTGTTACTTTAGCATTTTTCTTTCTTTCTTTTCCACCCTTGCTTTTCACTTGGGTGTTTTTGTTTTTGTTGGTGCAGATCTGAATCATGGATCCTAATGGCTTCTCCAATCATTGGGGGTATCCACCACCACCTGAGTGGTATTACCCCGAGACTCCCTGGAGCAATCAAGGAAGAGAAGACTATGGATTCGGGTTCCAGTACCAACCCCCTTACTACGGAGAACAACCGGATCCCTGGGCATATCAAGAACAACCTCATTACCAAGAAGAATTTTTCCCACAACCAGAGGGGCCATTGGAGCTGGAGTTGCCCATGGCGGCCTTCACGGGCCATTCTGCAGAGCCATGCTACACTCCACAGCCAGATCCACACTATGAATTGAGACTTCTCATGGAGCAGTTTGCTCGAGACTGTGATAGAACATGCTCCAGGATGGATCATTATGTCTAGGCCTATCGTGAAACAGAGGAGATCCTCCTGAGCCTTAAGAAGAGCGTCGATGATCTTGAGCGATCTTGGGCACAACCTGCTCCAGATCACCCTTCTGCTACCATACAAGAAGAGGAGGAGGAAGAAGAAGGCTACAAGGACATTGTGGAGCACACTGAAGTTGTCACGGAGAGCTCCCGTGATGATCATGATCAGGAGTGTCCTGTCGTAGCCGACCACACCTTCCCACACTCCAAACTGCGCTTTGAAGAGGCGGGCATGAGTGAGGAGTTGCAAGAAGATCTCATGAAAGAAATTGCTTGGCAACTTGCTCTCCAATCCGTGCTAGAAGAAGAAGAGCAACAAAGGGTGCAGAAAGAAGTTGTGGAGGATGACGAAAGTGAAGCAGGAGGAGTTCTTGATCATTTCCCAGGGGTGATACCACATGAAGAAGAAAGGGGGGTTGAAGAAGCAATTGGCGTCCAGGCTGAGGACGGAGTTAAGGTGGAAGAGGCCTGCACCGGCCATGAGTTACATGTGATATCTCCACCAAACTTCGAGGAACTGCTTAGCAAGGACCCATTTGCAGTGTCTCTTTGCCAGACCAAGGCCACCTCGACATCGGTCCCTCTTGGTGGACGCGATGGTGGCCAATCGATGCTGTCATATCTGGTTTGGGCAATGAGACGAGAGAAGAGAAGGAGAGGTCTTGAGGGTGGAGACTTCATCTGCATCAAGTACATGAGCCTTCATCACCTGCCACACCACATGCTCGTGACTTGAGACTCCACCTCATCGACGAGAACCTCAACTTCAAGGAGGTTCTAGCATGGACCGAAACTTAGGAGCCATCGTCCGGCTCACGACGTGAAAGAAGCGCTTGTTGGGAGGCAACCCAACCAGTCGGTTTGCATTTCTGTCTCTATTTCTCCTCGGTTGAGTCAGTTTTGCTATTTGATTTTAGAGTCAATAACTCAACCTTTGTGAGATTTTGTGTGGTGTTTGTGTTCTGATTACTCTCTCTTTCTGGATGGCACCGCCTGACCCGTTCATCATCATTCACCCTTGATCTGGTAACTTCGTTCTACCCTCCTTATCTTTCCTCCATTGAGGACAATGTCGTGCTTAAGTGTGGGGGGATGTTCGATTATGTATGCGGGTGAATGTTTGGCTGTTTGTGTGCTTGGAGCCTAGTCCACTGTCCAAATTTTTAAATTTGAGGGCTCCAAGTACGTGTTCCCGTGCAATTGCCTGCTCAGTATGCTTTGAATTGACAGTCTTTATAGTAATATGCAACCTAGGGAGGTAGTGTAGCATTATGGAGGATGTTGATGCATTTAAGAAGTCTCATTTCTTCTTCATATTGAGTTGGTTGATTGAGTGAATTAGTGATCTTAGGACCCTTGAATTGTGTGGTGTTGTGGATTCTCTGCCTGTCATGGACTCTTGTATCATGTTTTGAGTTTAACAGGTGCTCGAAAATGTGCTTCAAAATAAACGTCTCCCGTGCGAATAGGGCGAAAGTGTGTAAGGGGAGACGGGAATCCGTTCCCAATTTCCACCTACTACCTCCAGCCCCCTTACATGTCTTTCCCCCGCACGAGGCTCGAGACATCCGCTCCTGGCATGGCCGGTAAGAGCAGGTCGGGACCCTTGAAAAAAATAATAATAACAGAAAACAAGCAAAACAGAAAGAAAAGGGGTTCCAACCATCTTCAAGAAGAAAAAAAAGAGAGCACCTTGAAAAATGTGAGTCCATGATCTTTTGTTTTTGAGAATCTCTTCATCCACAATTCATTTGTCCTCTGTTCACTATTTGCCATGATGCCGACTCGATACTAGTGCTCTCGCCGAAGAAGCTATGAGATGACTTGTGCGTTGGTTGACCTCGTAAGTTGCTAAATGATCTAGGAAGTCCTCTACCTACGATCTGGGTTGTTTGTTGCTATAGAGGTCTGGAGAGCTGCATTGGTTTGAGTTAGGTTTGCTTGGGGACAAGCAAACGGTTAAGTGTGGGGGAGTTTGATAGACCGTTAATTACACATGTTTTTACCCCTGTTCTTACACCGTTTGAGATGTGGTTTCTCGTGTTTTAGACCGATTTCACGCTAGGTTGTGCTTGTTTGTGATATTTCAGGTCCTGGCAAGTGAATGAAGGTTTAGGAGCGAGCTCGGGGTCGATTGGGCGAAGATCGGGCGCGAGGCAAGTCACAAAGGAGGCCACACGGGCACACCCACAAATCACACGGCCGTGCAACTCATATTTCTGGCCGTGTGAGATTGTGCGAGAGCAAACACGGCCTGCCCTGACAACACACACGGCCGTGTGAAGGAGTGGCTTGGCCGTGCGAGTTTTGCCGAGAGCAAACACGGGCAGATGGAAGTCACACACGGCCGTGCCACTCTGGCCGTGTGAGAAGCCTGGAATTCGACTAAGTGATACGGTGCGTTTTGCCTCACACGGGCAACTGGGTAGGCCACACGGCCGTGTGGCCCTGCCCGCGTGAGTCGGGATTTCTTGGTTTTAAGCCAAATTCCGAACCAAAGAGGAGGAGAGCTGGGTTTTTGGATCCCAAAACACCCAAGGGACGAACCAAAGAGAGAGAGGGCGATTTGAGGGCATTCTTGGAGTAGAGAAGGAGGATTTCTTCGCCTTGGAAGCTTGAGGAACAAGCCCGGACTTGAAGACTGATCATCTGAAGATTCTTACTGCAGTCTCTCTCTTCTCTATGGAGTAACTTCCCTTCACTTAGGTTTTGAGGAACCCTAGCTATGTTTGTTTGATTGGATGATTGTATGAGTACTCTGACTTGATAATCTTGAGTTCATATTCAATCTATGCATGTTTTCATGATTCAATTCTGCTTTAGTCGAGATTATTGATTCTGCTTTGATCATATGAGAGGGAATACCTGATTAGGTCAATAGAGCACCATAGATTGATAGTAGTGGATCGATTGCTTTAGTCAAGGGTTGATTCACTGCTTTGTATCGATTGAGAACCTCTTTCGATAGAGGGAGTCTAGTTCAGAACGCCTTGATCAGTTGTTCTAGAGAAGGATACGTCCCTCTAGGCAATTGACTCAAGAGGGCCTTGTTCCTTTAGTCGAGACTCAAGGTCTAGTCAAGGATTCTCCGCATTGTGAATGAAAGTGAAACAGGTTAGAGATCATCAATCATTAATCTGGCTAGTGGCTAGGGGGAATCATACCTAAGTGAGTTCCCAACCTGTAATTAGATTAACTTTAACTGTAGTTTGCTAGAGTAGTTTTAGTTCTTTCATCTTAATCTGATTTGCTAAATAATAAACTGAAGCTGAGTAATAGTAACTCTAGAGACCCATGGATTCGATATTTATCACTTGAGCCACTATACTGCAGTCCCTTTCATTGGTTACACTTGGCCTTTGTTAGGTGTTGTGTTTTAGAGCATCAGTATTCTAAGTAAAATGACATCATTTTAATGAATTTAATGAATAAAAAAATTAATTTTTTATTCATTTTATGAATGTAATAGTTAAAAGTTGATGATATTTGTTGGATTGTAACTAAATTGTCCACAAATATGTTTTATATATGATTAAATAAATTGAATATTAATTGTTTTCATATTTTTTTTAAACCGACATGAACCGGCACAAACTGGTTATACCACTGGTCCTACCATTCCACTTGTCAAACCGGCACAACGGTATAAACTGGTTTGACAACCTTGTCCAAAACTTTCACGGTTGTGCCAATAATATCCAAATTTCTCGGAATACCACTTATATCCATGTTTTAAAGTTGTTCTTTGCCAAATCTATCTATTTTCCAATATATTTTTGATTAAATACACTTGTATATCCAAAACACCGTGTGAAGGAATTGGATATAAGTGGTATTTCGGGAAATTTGGATATTATTGGCACAATCGTGAAAGTTTTGGATATACAAGTGCATTTAACTTTTCTTTTGAGGTTGCCCAATGCATTAAAATCTTTGGTTTTCTAAAGAATTATTATGATCTCGCGTTAAGTTCATCTTGCCTAATGAGGTTTTTAAAAATGTTGAATGAAACATATGAGATGTGCTTTGTATAAAGCAATCACGCAAAGGCACAAATTCAATATATTATTTTTAGAAGATACTAAATATACAAATACGACTTGACATGTCATTGCCTTAACATTTCTCGCTATGTAGTCATGGAATGTCGATATATTTCCCGCGCCGTAGTCGTGGGTATTGATTCTAGTGAATTTGAATATTTCGATTTTCGAATGACCAAACATGAAAGTTTTTTCTAATCTTAGTGACAAATCATACAATTAACCCAATAAAAAAACCTAACAAACTAAACCCTTACATTCAGCCACTATTAATTAATTAAAAATCACTCTAATACCCTAAACCCTTAATTGTCCGTACCTACTCAAAATTACTAACTAATTGTTACTTACCTAAAAAAAAGAGAGGGCGGAGAGGCATTCTCCTTTGCAGCGCAACTATGGCGACGATTGTGAAGAACACCGTGTTGAGCTTCGTGAAAGTTTCTGCTATGGTTGGGTTTGGCTACGCAATTGACAGTACTTATAAGAGTCAGCTTCCCTTCGCCGTGATGTTCCTGGTTTTAATGGTAAGAACTTATCATCTCTGTGGTTTCTCCCCAAAATTTATAATGTCTAGTTTTCCATCTTTGATTTTTCATAACTCACTATTGCTTTTCTCCTTCGGTTCCGGCCTGTTTAGGCGTGCTCTATCTCTGTTGTGCTGGTAGTCATGGTCGTGGAGTCACTCAAGGGAGGTCGGAAGCAGAGTCAGTCGACGATCGAAGGGATCACCGAGCCGGCGAAAAAGGAAAATTGATTGTGAGATCCTAATCTTTCGTTTGTGATGGTGGTAGCTTCTGATCTTCCATATATGTTGTAGGGTTCGTGTGAATGAAATTCTCATGGGCTTGGTTATGTAATAGTTGCAATCAGGATCAGTTGAAAGAAGTTCCTCTTGTTATGTGAATTGTGCGTTTAAATTGTGTATTGATTCCTCACAGAAGACTATGCCTAACACGTGCTCGATGAAATGTCCCTGAGAAAGCATAGTTGGAAAAATTCCTCTTGGTTATGCGTTATGTGTTAATGTGCCATGATTTCATAGATAAGCGGCAATCTCAGACGTTTATCACTTACGTTGCCATTTTGCTCTGATTTGCAGTTCGTGCATTTCCAGCATCGGTTCATTCTAACGCCTCACGGTGTTCACCTTTAACTAAAACGGCAAAGAACTGAAGAATAGTTACAAAAAGAATCGAAAGGATGCATGTTGCCGGGATTCTGTATTGATTTAGGACATCACGTACTTGGAAGCATTGAAGCGGGAAGACGAGCTACACTGGTTGTGAAATGCCATCAATAAATGCATCAAGGTTGGTTACTGACGATCCGCCTTCTGCAACGGCTGCGTTGTATATATCTCCAAGCTCTCTTGCTCTCTTCCTCATTTGTTGGCCTTCTTCGCTTTCACTGTCCATGAACTTCCCAACAATTTGAGCAACCTCTTCTCTAGTTATCTCGGTTTCTTGCTTTAGGTGTATATCGATCTTGCACCCAGTCCGCCACTCTTCAGCAATCTGCTTGCTGTTGGCATCTTGATCCAGAAAAAGAGGGAATGTCAACATGGGAACCCCTGCAAAAGATGCTTCCAGGGTCGAATTCCACCCGCAATGACTCCAAAACCCACCTACTGAAGAATGGCTCAACACCTTCAACTGATCACACCACGGCAAAACCATCCCCTTCTTACAGCCACCACTCTGGTTCAGCCTCAAAGCTTCTGCACGAGCTATCCACAGGTACCGAATGCTAGCAGCTTCGAGACCTGCGAGAATTTCCTCCATTTGGGTGCTTGAAACTGAGAGGAAACTCCCCAATGAGATATATAGTACAGAGCCTTTTGGCTGGTTATCAAGCCACTCCATGTAGTCAGCTCTGGAGGAATTCTGTTGTAGTTCCAAGTAAGGAATGGCTGGGCCGATTGGGTAGACCGGAAATGTGAAAGTTTGTTTCAAGGAATCTATGGCTTGGATTTCGAGCTCATATAAGGTCGTGAAGAGAAGATACTGTGCTTTTGGCACCTGGGCAATGCACTCCAAGGCAAGTTCAAGCACTCTCAGATCATTCTTCTGGAAGAGTGTTCTCAGTTCAGGAACTCTTGAATTCGAAATACCAATAATCGAATCCACTTTTTCTACAATCAATGGAAGAAGAAATCAAATCACTCACAAATTTGGATGTTGGGATCTGAACAAAAATAACCCAGAAGTTTGCATTTACCTAACAGATCCTTTGGCGGTGAACTCTGGCTTTTTGCAGCAATATCCAGATGATACAACATGGAAAAGAAGGAAGCTGACATCGTCCAGAAAGCTGCCACTGGAATATTCCTGCGGTTGCCCACTCCCATAGCCCATCTGACTTCAATGTCACCGATGATTGCAGTCGCCGGAGGTTGAAGCTGATCCAGGAGCTGTTTGAATGGGGATTCCATCTCTGTCATCACAGCTTCATAGAACCCAGGAAAGTCAACAGCTTTCAGGCGCTCTGGTGGAATGACGTTAGCTATGGTTCTAAACTGAACTATCTCAGGCTTTGGCTCTGACCCTATGTAGCCAAGCCACTCCTCTGTGATCACAAAGGTGATAAGAAGATCGCTTCGCCTTCTTGAAGCTAGCAACTTGCAGAGGTTCATCATCGGATTGATGTGCCCTCTCCCTGGGAACGGCATCGCCACCAGATGCTGACATACTTCCTTAGATTCCATACCAGGTGAGGAATTCGTGCTCAATTTGTGAAACTTGGTAGAACACTGAAAGAAAGATATCTCCTTTTCTCAAGATAGGAGGAATATGTATTTCACAAAAATGGCAAAAGCATGCTAAAGAAATAGTCAAAAGTGCCGTGTGGGAGCTCGCTACCTATAGTCAGGATTTTGTCGAGGGTGGCTCCATTTAGAAAAAATACATACGATAAAATAATTTTGTTAGCTTTCTAAATCGTTCATGATATAATTTTATATTTGCAAAAATTTGATAAATTAAATTTTATGTTAAAACTATAAAAAAATATCACTATATATGTATCAAACAATTATTTATGATTTAGTTAGACATTTGCTTTTGAATCGTGTTCTTCGTCAAGACCGTTTAGTATCATTAACTCGAGTTGTTAGAAAAGATTTAATAATGAATATAATACTATTTAGTATTTACTAACACTTTCCTGCTTACTACAACCAACTTATGCGTGCTTAAAGTTTACGTAAATCCGAATATCATGTGTTTAACAAATGAGGTTACAAAGATTCGAACAAATGATATCTCGGTCAACCATTCTCAATTAGAAGTGCCCTAAATTTCATTCTCAATTAACTATTATACTAATTTTACTCATTTTCGTCCTTAGGAAACACCTGTTACAATCTCCCTACCCTGATTGAAATAAAATTATTTTTACAAATGAATTATGATTTGGTGGAAATTTGTTGTAAATATTGAATACATACATCTTCAATTTTGGGCGAATCATATACATCATTATCATTTGTACATAGCTCGTTATAAATACATTGAATATGTCAACGCTCGTTATTTTTCATACATCAAATATTTCAGGTCTACCAATTTCATTTAAATACGTATTATTTTTCATACCCGATTAACTATTGTACTTAATTGACCATTTTCTAACCGGAATTAGTGTGGGTCAGGGACCCACCCTCTAACTCTCTCCCTCCGCCCCTGGCTACCTACCGCCTTGGTTAGTCCCTTTTGTCTTTATCCTCTTTTGTATTGTTTCTTATATTCTATGTTATCATTTCATCTTAGTGGGAAGCTGCTGAATGTCAATAAAGCAAAGCATCTGTTATGTGCTTGCAGAGATTCATTCACTTCAACGACGATAACAAGCGGTTGAAATGTCTGCGATGCAGTCATCGAGGTTCCTAACTTACAAGATGCATCAAATATTCAAAACAGAAAGGGGAAAGGCGAATGAATCGGTGTTGCATCTGGATTCTCATGCTGCTGCTTTGCTGTGGATCTAGATTCGAGCTTCATGGAGAAGACATTGTGTGTATGCTTAACACAAGCTGGATGAAATGTCTCTGAGAAAGCATCCCATTCCAGTAGCCATGGACCCTCCATCCGAACCAGCATCTCTGGCCTTCCGCTGCAGCTCTTTTACTCTAGTACACATCTCTTTCACTTCGGCGTTCTCAGAATCCATGAACTTCTTCACAATTCCCGCCACTCGCTCTCTACCCATCCAAGCTTCCTCCTTCACCTTCCACCCGATCCTCCAATCCTCGACGATCACTTTGCTGTTGGGCAATTGGTCGATGGCGAGAGGCCACGTCAGCATCGGAACCCCGGCACTGAGCAGGCATTCCTGCACGGAGTTCCATCCGCAGTGGGTCCAGAACCCGCCTACCGAAGGGTGGTGAAGCACCTTCAGCTGTTCACACCACGGCACCATGAGTCCCGTGTCGCCTCCCCAGGCCTTCTGCAGTCTAGTCGCTTCGCCACGAGCCACCCACAGGAACCGAACCCCGCTCTGGCACAAACCTGCCGCGATTTCCTCCACCTGTGTTGCTGAAAATGACAAATAGCTGCCCATGGAGACATACAGAACTGACCTCGCTGGTTGCCGGTCCAGCCATCTGAAGTAGTCGGGTTGGGTGTCATTCTCCGTTATCGAATCAGAATGTGGGACAACTGCAGGGCCGATGGTGTAGATTGGATATGCCAGGCTTTGCTTCAGAGCATCCACAGCTTGGGGTTCAATCTCATACATAGTGGAGATTAGCAGGTACTGTGCTTTGGGAACCCTGGAGAACCCTTCTCGGAGTCGATTCATTAGCGATTCGCTGTAACCGGTGAATTGTGGCGGGAGATCAGCTAGGCGTATTGGAGATAGCCCGGGAATGTAGTTCGCGAGCTGATGCCCGTTCTCTAGGAAGAAGAAACAACAACATTTCGAGATGCATAGTTAACAAAAGCAGACACATACATCATACATCCTCCGAAGTTGAAGAACATAAAAGGCTGGCTCACCTGATAACTTGACAGGGAAGTGTCCGTTCTGTGTGAAAAGATCCCAGTGGTGGAAGAGTGAAAAAACCGTGGCCGACATGCACCAAAATGAGGCCACCGGAATATTTCTCCGGTTCCCCAAGCAGACTGTCCATGACAGGAAAGTATCGGCCATGATGAGAGAAGCTGGGGGATCCAACTGATCGAGCAGCTGCTCGAAGTGGGGTTCCATCTCTGTGTTCAAGGCTTGGATGAACTTCTCCATATCCGCAGCTCGAACCAGCTCCGATGGAATGACATTAGGTATGGTTCTGAAACGAATTTTCTCACTTCCTGAGGTCTCCTCTGAACCCAGAAATCGGAGCCATTCTTCAGTAACGACGATGCTGACGAGAACAGTAGTATTGGGCTTGGAAACCAGTAGCTTGCAGAAGTTCATCATAGGATTGATGTGGCCACGGCCAGGATATGGCAGAGCCACGATGTGACAGCGGCTTGGTGTTTCTTTCATGATTTTTGCTGGATCTGTATCTTGAAAGTATCCCGGAGGAAGGACTTTGAAGAAGAGAACACGGTGACTCCAAGATGTAAAAGTTTCCTTTGTTAGGAGAGAGCAGAATGTTCTGGCAAACTGGGTTGATCGGTCACGAACAAAGAACCAACTCCCGGGTGACTGGATTTCAGTCCTCAATGTTTTGTTATCAATTTTGTAACTTTTGCTTTATTAATGGAATTGTAGAGACGTATTGTAAAAAAATAAAAAAGGGACTTTGAAGAAGAGAACACGGTGAGTGGTGTGGAGTTGTGGAATTATCAGTAAAGGTGTAAAGGTCAGGCCAGTTATATATTTAATCAAATATTTCCCTTCTTTATTGATTTTATTTTGTCCACATGACACCGACAATGATCATCTTAGGATCTTCTCCACTAGCAATTTCATGTTACCGAAAATTTAAAATACACTGCCTGGCTGTTGTAGAGAATTTGACTATTTGAGGAATGATATTGGCTTGATTTTCATTGACGTAAAGGGAGTATATTCTTTCTTATATAAAAGCCTGGTTAAGCATCTACTATTCATTATTCATTAAGAGGTTTTTTTGGTAATTTTAACAAAGTTTAAGAAATAATGACATTATGGCAATATTTTCAAGAGACATGTCAACATTTTTATAATTTTACTTTTCAAATTATGTTCTTCATATTTCATTTCTCTCCCTATTTCTTATATTTTTGTTTGTTGTTCTTAAATCGGTTTGTTGTTCGTAGGCCTGTCGGTTCGGTTCGGGTCGGGTAACCGAACCCGAAAACCGCAAAAACCCGAGAAACCAAAACCGAGCCCCGCCAACCCGAAACCGAAACCGACCATGTGCTGTGCGGGTTCCGGGTACAAAAACCCAAAAAATAACCGCGGTTTTGATTCGGTTCGGGTGAAACCGAAACCGAACCGGTTTGATTTTTTTAAAAAAAATACTTTTGTGATTTGAATTTTATATTCTTTTGCTTGTACAACCAATTTTATCCTTATTATTTGTGCATTCTTATTTAACCATTATGTTTAATTTTCTGGGACGTGGACATTATAAAACTAATATTTATATATTAGTTTTTTATTAAAATATTAGTTAATTATTAAAATATTTAATTTTATGTGTTCTATAACTATAGACATACTATTAACTATTAAAGAGTATTACTAGTTTAGAGACAAAGTAAAATACTTAAACATATTCTACACGTAAATTAATCATATCTTATTTTGCTATGTTAAGTAATACAACCTTTTGGGCATAATCATATCTTATTTTGCTATGTTAAGTAATGCAACCTTTTGGGCCATTTAATTGTGGATTTTCATATAATTAAATGTTTTAGTAATACCATAGGTCCAAAATTGAAGGTATATCAACTACCATATGCAAAAAAAAAAAAAAAATGTTTGGTGTTTGGCGCAAAATTATAAATAATTTTGTTTAACATAAAATACCGACAATCATAGATGAGATTATCTTCAACTCGTAATTAAACACATTAGTTTTACAATTCTCAAATGATAACATTCAAGTAAAATAAAAATTCATCCACCATACAAGATAAACACTACTACCATTATCACTCCTCATTAGGCTCTACATCTACATAAGTCTCATCATTCTCATCAGAATTGTCGTCGACATAGTCTTCTTCCACTTGTGACATAGTAGGACTCGAGACCAAAACATGGGTAGCAGGATAGCTTCCACTAGGTTCTGCACGAGAGCTTCCACTAGGTCCCGCAGGTGCACTTGAACTCCGAGCTTGAAAAGCTGCATATACTGGATAACATAAACAATAACAACTTGTTAGAATATGACTTGATCAAGATAACAAATATAAGAATAAAGAGAAAGAAAGATTAAGTCTTTACCATTTTGAAATACCACTTCATCACCCTCATCTTCTCCATCAGCCACCAACTCAGAGTCTGAAGATCTTATCCAATCTTCACAACAAATCAAAGCCTCCACAACTTCAGGGGATAAGGAGGTCCTAAAGGAATCCAAAACTCGACCTCCTGTGCTGAATGCCGACTCAGAAGCAACAGTGGAAATAGGAACAGCAAGAATATCCCTAGCCATCTCAGAAATAGTAGGATATTTCATCCCACTTCGCGACCACCATCCCAAGATGTCAAACTTGCATTCATCCTCTTCTGAACCCACCAATGCTCGTGTAACCACTTCATCATCTTCCTCCTCCTCAAGGTACCTATCAAACTCAGATTTGGAACTTTTTCTAGTTCCTTTCAGAATGGCCTCTCTTTTCATTTTCCTAAAATCACCCCAAATCTTCCCTTTCTTCTTCCCATCCCCACTTCCACTAGGTTCTTGCACATCTTCCTGAATCACAATGGGAGAACTGCCAGGAAGTCCGAGCCTATGCTTGTAATGGTCAAACAGAAGACGCATTTCATCTTTCACCTCTTCGACCAAAGCTTTACCCCTGCTCTCACCATATACCTTCTTCAAAGCTTGTTCAAGATATTCAACCTTCCGCCTAGGATCTAATATGACTGCCATATAACACAACCGATTCATCTTGGAATTCTCCAACTCATCTTCAAACCAATACTTGGCAAGTTTGGACTTGATTCTCTCAGCCATGCAAGACACCTCAAAATCTATACGATCAGCCCACTCAGATATCATAGTGTACATTTCACATACCTCATCAAACAAGAGGTGTAAAGTCACATATGAAGTCCCAGAAACTCGAACAGTCAAATCATAGAATAGCTTCAGGTAATCAATCAACCTGCCCACACTAGACCAATCATCAGAAGTTGTGATACCAAGGCTTTCCATTCCATATTTTTTTTCATTGAGATGTTTCTTGAATTTCTTATCATTTCTAGCTAATGTCTGAAATGCTTTCTCAAATGGCTTTGCAGATTCCAACATCAGATACGTTGAGTTCCACCTTGTAGCTACATCCAACGAAACAAATTTCTTCGACGCTATCTTTTCAAACTCAATGCAATCTTTAAATTTTATGCTCCTAGCTGGTGTAGATTTAACCCACTTCACAGACTCTCTTACTCGCTCCACAGATTTACCAGTTTCTAAAAGCCCATCCTTCACAGCCAAATTAATAATGTGAGCCACACACCTCATCTGCAGATATTTTCCATCCAAAATATCTGATCCCCACTCTTTCAACTGTTCCTTCATATGGATAGCAACCACATCATTGACACTAGCATTGTCCATTGTTATACAAAACACCTTCCTAATGCCCCACTCCACCAAACAACTAGCCAACTGTTTTCCAATTTCAATTCCAGAATGTTTTGTAACTTGGACAAAGTTAATAATTCTTTTATGCAATTTCCAATCTCTACCAATGAAATGAGCAGTAATGCACATATAATTGAGATTGGACAAAGAAGTCCAAGTATCAGTGGTGAGCGATACCATCCCTAAACACTTAGTCTTGAAATAGTCCTTCAGCAACTCTCTATTTTCAAAGAACACCTTGATACAATCCTCTCTAACGGTCTGACGGCTAGGTAACACAAACATTGGACAAACACGAGCCATAAACTGTTTGAACCCTTCATGTTCAACATACCTAAATGGTAATTCATCTATGATAATCATCTCCGCTAAAGCTCTCCTAGCATCAATCTGATCGAATTTCCAAGTGCCAAGAGTGTGTACCTGGCCTCCAGAAGATGATAGATGGTCGACTATCAGCTCACCCTTTTCTATCTTTTCCAAACAACTATCTTTATGATTCCGCAGAGTAGAAGTCCCATATTTAGTGGGAGCCATAAGAACACCATTGCAATAAATGCATCTTGCTTTGTCCAACCCATCCTTCTTAAAACGCTTGAAGTGTGGCCAAACGTCAGACTTTTCTTTCCTTTTTCTTGAAATTGTCTCCTCGTCTATTGTTTGAGCAGGAGGTACATTGGTGGTACCGGTAGACGGTGCAGGAGCAGGATCGGAAGACGGTGCAGGAGTAGGAATTCTGGTACTCTTAGAGCGTCCTCCACGTTTAGGACGAGAAGCCGATGGTGCCTCACTCTCCCTGCCAAAATAAAACACGTGAGTTTAGAAGAACATAGTAGGATGGAATGTCTAATGGAATTTAGCATAAAACTTAACAGACTTGGCAACCACCAACATAAATCTATGTTTTCAGCCTGGTGTTTTACCCCACAGTTCAATTGTTGCCATCCCATTATATTGTCAAGTGTCAACCCACCCCAGCCAAAAGCCCAAAAACCACAAATGATGACAAATCCCAACTTACATTAGACATGGAAAATGACACATCAAAATACACACTAGCTAGCTAGCTTGACAGTAACAAAACCTCCCCAAACTGGAAAAAGCCCCCCAGCCACAGTTCCCTTTTTCCATTCTCCCAAATGCCCAAATTCCCACAATCACAAGGGCCGAGAGTTCGAGAGCACTGAAGAACAGCAACAGCCGATTATGATAAAAGCAAGCTGCAGGCGGCCGGATAAAGCCCATTAAAGACGAAAAGGAAGCAACAAGGTTTGAGGGGGAAAAAACACACAGTAAAAGGACAGAAGATTGATGCAGTAGTGAAATGATGAGTGCAAAACTTGCTTCTTTCTACTGGGTATGGGAATCTGGATGCCTGGAATTTAAAACATAACACTTGTTTTCTGATAAATATGCCTGGATTTACTCTTCTTTTCATTCAACTTTTACAACTTCATTGGTTGAGTTCATAAGCTTATTACTCCATGAATCAAGCTTAATCAATTATGCAACTGTGAGAGCATACAATGCAAATCCTGTAGACATAACCAACTCCCAACCATAGCAAATAAAAGTGTTGCTCTGCCTAACAGTGAGCAAGAAGAGCCTAATTTGAGGTCTTCGGTATTAATTCAAATCATGATAAATTCCAAGTTTCTCCGTCACATAGAACAATCAAAGAAAAATCGGACATCCCAGTAAAAGAAACATCATAAAAACAGAGCATAGATGCCCCTCGAACCCTGTACTCGACACACTCTGTTTCTCCCTAAACCGAAACCCAACTACAAACCGAAACAAAGAAAATTAAACAAAGAAAGTCGATCATGAGATTGAGAAGGCAACATCATCAACATGCCACAGCTCACATGTCTAATGTACCCCTCTGAACCAAAAAGCATTGAACAAAAGAACGAGGGAAAAAAGCTCTAAATCGCTGCGGAAATGGCCTCTGGAGTCTGGGTTTCGGTTTAGGGAGAAACAGTGTGTCGAGTACAGGAGAGCCTGTCCAAATTGCAACATGGTTCTGATGATTTAGCCTGA